AAATAAATTTCGTATTCAACTACTCCTTGAGGTTCCAGCAAATTTACATTGTGTTAATTTTTTTGAACACCTTGTGTCACAAATATGAGCACTACCAATGACATCCATGATATGCAACACTTGTGTCAATAATTATTTTACCTATCTAAAGAAATCAACAATAAGAGGCAGTACCCATCTAAGGATACACAATCTGTATAATGCAATTTTTTAAACATAGGTTTTGATATCGTACCATATTGGAAGTCGACGCACAAATCTAAAAACATTACTGTCGAGTTTTTGAATTTTCCCATTCCAAGGTGATATAAAATAAATAATTAATTAGGTAAATTCATAGTTTTAATTCTAACTTGATTTATTTTATTTAACATTTAAGGCAAATGTGATTTCCAAACACAAGATAAGTTCCATATCTCTTTAATTACATAATTGAAAGCATTAAATTTATATAGTTATTATTTGGCAACAAAGCCACCGCTAGAACTGCCGCCTATTAGCAAGTAGAAGAGTTACCACGCTAAATTTTATAGCTGGAAGCCGGCTAAGGAGACCCTGCTTCCATTTCGGGTTGCCAATTTCCAGCATTTAAGTAGCAGTCTGTAGCGATACGCTATATTGTCTGTGGTAGCACTTTGTAAAGATTTACACTTACGTGATCCATAAAAAACGTTAGGCATTTCGAAAACATAAATTTGATAACGTATTTTAATTGATTTGGGTTTTCTAATATTCAATCGTCATTTACTCGAAAAATTTCCTATATAAGATGGCAACATTTTAATACTGTCAGATCGACAATGAAACGATCTTTCAGAATCAAGAAAAAAAAATAGGGGGTTGCTATTTAAAAAAAAATATATGACGTCGTGTTGTAGATACAAAAATAACTATTTCATACAGATGTTACTTATTAATTTAATTGAATAAATGGTATACTTCTTCGAATATTACTTTCGAAGATTTGTTTATTTCAGTTGAACAAATTTCCCCCTTAAGAATTTTAAAATCAATTTCCTCAAATTTAAATTTCTTTCACAATAAATTATAGATCAGTTCTTTGAACATAATGGGAGATTGTAAGTAGTGTTTTCAAATTTTGCAATTATAATTCATGAGAAAACTTACTTTAGAAAAATATTACAATATTTTTTAAATATCTCGTTCTCGTTTTTCATGATCTATCATCAATTCAAATTCTCGACAATAACAACAGATATTTGGATGTCTAAACATAACTGTTTCTGTTCTTTTCAGCATCGAGACACCCAAGAAACCTTAGCAGTTTTAGATAGGTTAGACTTAGATACGGAAAAACCGAGCGACGAAGAGATAGCTAGGAAATTCGGCTTTGAAGAAGACTACTTCAAAGGCACCTTATCGTGGTGGCAGCTCATGAAACCCAAAATTTGGTCGCTCTTTGACGAACCCTACTCATCTACGGCAGCTAAGGTAAGTACCTTGCTACGGTTTGCGGTTTGGGTAGAGGTTAGATGTAAATTGACTAAAGATGCAATACTCCAAATGGAAAAAAAAAATATATTTCAGTGAGTGGTTCAAGAGTTTTGGTTTTTGCAAAATCGTTAACATCTTGGAGTGAGTTGCATTTTTATGGAACGTGTTTTTTGCTTTCGCATGATTCTTTTTACTTACATTATCAACATTTAATAAATTGTATTTTAAATTGTTTGATAAACTTATTCCAGGAACAAGTCTCAGTTGACTGAGGAATTTTCTTTGAACTTTTTACCCTTTTCTAATAGAAAAATAGATAACTCATCGTTTATCTAATGTCTTCTTCGATTATTTCTTATATAGTTTCACATTCCAGTTATTAAATAGTGTCATGCTTCATCCAAAATATTTCTGAGACAGACTAACTTCCAAAAACCTTAATAAAATGAAAAAAATTAATAAACTGATACTGTCCACAGCATCTTCCACACTACATCTTTTCCTTAGAGCATGTGTAGAGCCATTTTCCTTCATTTAATAAAAAGATTGTCATTTTTAACTAGCTGTCTAGGAAAACATATAAAGTAAGTCATAAATAGTGACAAACAGTATCTATACGTTTTTTTTGTTCGTTTTGTTACATCAAGAAAGCATGTAGAAACATGTGAAGGATACAGTGTTTGAAAAAAACGGTTCGATCAGTTACATTTTGTTCAGTTCATCACTTTTGTTTATTTATGCAGTCCAAGAACATTGGCAAACGTTTAAATAAATTATTTCATCGTTCTGATATTTCTTTTAATTTAACATCAATGTAATTAAACGCTTAAACGTTTTACCAACAATCAAAAATATTTCTTGACGACTTTTAACAATGTTTAAAGGTTTAAATGTTTTATGTTTATAATTATTACGTTAACAATATTTTTTGGAATTGTTGTAATTTATTCAAACTTTTTATGTGTTTGTAAACTTTAAAACGTTGAATCATTCTCATATTTATTTGTTTTACCATAGATGCGTTAAAGATTTAAACGTTTTATTTTTTAAACGTTTAAACGATTTATTTTTTTTAGTTACTGATTCGTTTTAGATTGCATTAACAGTATTTTTTGTCGATTTTGCTGCTTAACAGTTTCTAGATTATAGGAGTGCTTGAACGTTTAAATATTGAACATTTTTGGGTAAAATATTGACAAATTATTTAAATGTTTTGAAATTGTGCTAACACTAATTTAGTGAGTCGAAACGTTTAAATATTGAGTTGTTCTCATTTCCATTGATTTATCATTAATATTTAAACGTTTTATTTTTTAATTTTAAAAAATTTGCAGAAAACATTTAAAGATCTTCACAACACATCTTTCAACTGTGTTAATAGAAATTGTTATCATTGTTATTTAAATCTTTTTAGACCTTTGGTGTTTTTAAACGTTTAAATATTGAACCATTCTAACAATCGTTTATTCTAGTATTGATACGTTAAATATTTAAATGTTTTATTTTTTAAATTACTGCATAAATAAATATAAATATTAAACCATTCTAACATTCGTTTATTCTATACGTTAAATATTTAAACGTTTTCTTTTTAAATTACTGCATAATCGTCGAAACGTTTAAATATTAAATTATTCTCACTTTCGTTTATTTCTCATCGGGACATTAAGATTTAAAAGTTTTATTTTTTTAATTATTGAAAAGATTTGCAGAAAACATTTAAAGATTTTCACAATACATCTTTCAATTGTGTTAATAGGATTTTTTATCATTGTGGTTATTTTAAAACTGTTTAGATCTTTGGTGTGTTTAAACGTTTAAATATTCAACCATTCTAACATACGTTTATTCTAGTATTGATACGTTAAATATTTAAACGTTTAATTTTTTAACGTTTAAACGTTTTGTTTTTTAAATTACTGAATGATTTGTGGAAATCATTTACGTATCTTCGTAATACGTTTTTAAATTATATTAACAGTATTTTTTTTGTCAATTTTGATTCTTAACACTTTCTAGATTTCAAGAGTGTTTGAACGTTTAAATATTGAGCATTTTTGGGTAAAAAATTTACAATTTTTTTTTAATGTTTTGAAATTGTGTTACCAGTAATTTAGTGAGTCGAAACGATTAAATATTGAGTTGTTCTCATTTTCATTTATTTATCACCGGGACATTAAGATTTAAACGTTTTATTTTTTTAATTATTGAAATGATTTGCAGAAAACATTACAGATTCTCACAATACGTCCTTCAACTGTGTTAATAAGATTTTTTATCATTGTTATTATTTAAAACTTTTTAGATCTTTGGTGTGTTTATACGTTTAAATATTGAACCGTTTTAGCATTCGTCTATTTTAGTATTGATACGTTAAATATTTAAACGTTTTATTTCTGATACCGCAAACATTTTTATGTAAAATATTAAACAAATTAAACGTTAGACATTTAACGTTTATATATTAAATCGTTAGTTTTATTATCGACACGCTAAAAATCAGGTTTTATTTTTGGGTAAAACGTTTCTAAATCTTTTTAATGTTTTATATTTACATTAGCAGTAGCTTGGCGTGTTTAAACGTTTAAATATTGAATTTCAACTTTCATTTATTTTAGCATCGAGTCGCTAAACATTTATGTTTTTTCTAATTATTGATTAAATATAGGGAAAATATCTTAATAAGCCTTTAAAATTGTATTTGTGCTGAAACTATTTAGGAGTGTAATATATTTAAATATTAATATATTAAATATTTGATCGTTTAACTTTTAAACGATCAAATATTTAAGCTTTAAAACATTAATTACCTTTTATTTACATTAATTCGTTTGCTGCTCCAGATAGAACTAATGAAGCACGAACCGGCGATGTCTAGATAGTGCGCTGGCGTTATAAGACGAAATTATTTAGTTCCCTTTAGGAAAACCTTCCGTGCAAGCGTTTAAACCCCAATCTCTTAAGCGCAAACCCTAACATTATTTACCCCCGGCATTCCTGCAATTACTTCATCAGTTCCTGCACCGACGCGTGGCTCCTATTTGATTCTGATGAGTTCGTGTGCGGTTGGCACTCCGTTTCCGAAAATTCGCACACAAATTCAATAGTTCCCGAGTGGTGCAAGTTCAACCAGGCGAAATGCCTGGTAATTTGTCTTTAGCCTCGCTTATTTGTAGGAACCTGTGGAACTGGTGCATTTCACTCCCTGCGATGCAAAAACGTCACGTTAGTTTATACTATTAGAGGATTTCATTAGGTCTCAAGTAAATATTTACGCTTTTGAACGTTTTAATGTCCTTTGTGAAGAATTCATTTCATTGTATAGCTTTGATCGTTGAAAATACAATGGAAACAAAATACGTTTAAATTTTTCAATATGTATTCCTTTAAACGTTTCAGTTTTGAGATGAAGAAAACATTTAAACGTATATGCTTTGATTGTCAGGAAAAACTCCTTTTAGTCTGGATTGTAAATGTACTGGAAATTATATTAGAATTGGGAAACGGTTTAACGTTTCAATTCTTATTCGTTTACATACACCGGAAATTGTATTTGGTATGAAATACGGTTATACAGTTCAATATTTATTGTTTGAATATTTTTATGTTGTGATGAAGAGGTCATTTAAAGAATTAAATTAATTATCTACGTAGTTAATTTAAACGTTTCAATACTTAGTCATTTAAACGTTTCAATGTTGAGATGAATAAAACATTTAACTGAATATACTTTAAGCGACTCAAGAATAGCATATTGTGTATTTTATTACAAATACACTGGAATTGAATAACTTTATGATTTGAAGTACGTTTCAATATTTATTCGTTTAATTATTTAACGTTTCAATGTTGTGCGGAAGACATTTAATTGGACATGCTTTAATCGTGTGAAAAACTCCTTGTTTTGATTCTAATTAGAAATTCACTGAAATGATATTAGTTCTGAAGTACGTTTAAAAGTTTCAATATTTAATCGTTTAAATAATTAAACGTTTTAATGTTATAATGAAGAAGACCTCATATGTGCTTTGACCGTCTGAAGAAAACCTATTTTAGTTTTCTTTTTACAAAATGTACAGGAAATTATATTAGTTTGAAGTACGTGTAAACGTTTAAATATTTATTTGTTTAAACGTCTCATTAGTGAGAAGACATTTAATTGAACATGCTGTAATCTACTCATAAACGCCTTGTTCTGTGTTCTGTTACAATATTCTCTGAAATTTAGCACTAATGATTTGAAGTTCGTGTGAATATTTATTCGTTTAAATATTTAAACGTTTCAATGTTATGGTGAAGAAGACATTTAATCTTATATGATTTAGCCATCGTTAATTCCTTGTTTTTTAATAAAATGATAAATACATTGGGAATATTACATTCGAAGTTCGTTCAAACGTTTCATTTTTTCCATTTAAATAAACGTTTTAATGAAGTAGACGTGGCATTCTATTCTATTAAAAATACATCGGAAATATATTAAGTTTGAGGTACGTTTAAATGTTTCAATATTTATTCATTTAAACGTTTCAACGTTGAGATTTAATCGTATATTTTCTGTTGTATAAATATACTTTTTTACTACTATTAAACGTTTCAATACTTATTCGTTTGAACATTTCAGTAACACTTAATTGTGTATGGTTTGATCGTCTGGAAAACCTCCTGTTCTGTACCCGGACATAATTTTCAATAAATAAAATGAAGGTAATTTTCCGTTCCAGGTGATAGGCGTTCTGTCCGTGTTCTTCATCTGCGTCTCGATCCTCTCCTTCTGCCTGAAGACCCACCCCGACATGAAGGTCCCCGTCATCAAAACGACGGCCGTGCGCACGACGAACAACGGCACCGATTACTTCATCGACAAGGAGGACACTGACGCCCACGTGGCCTTCTTCTACATCGAGTGCATCTGCAACGCTTGGTTCACCTTCGAGATCCTCGTCAGATTCATCGCGTCGCCCAACAAGTGCGAGTTCATCAACTCTTCGGTGAACATCATCGACTACATAGCCACCGCGAGCTTCTACATCGACCTGGTAAGGCCGGAAATGTTTATCACCGCTGTGTTTTCATGTTATCTTCTCCGCAGATCCTGAGGAAGTTCGCGTCGCACCTGGAGAACGCCGACATCATGGAGTTCTTTTCCATCATCCGCATCATGCGGCTATTCAAGCTCACTAGGCACTCTTCCGGGTTGAAGATCCTCATCCAGACGTTCCGGGCGTCCGCCAAGGAGCTCACCCTCCTGGTGTTTTTTCTCGTGCTGGGCATCGTGATCTTCGCCAGCCTGGTGTACTACGCCGAGCGGATCCAGACGAATCCCGACAACGACTTCAAGAGCATCCCGTTGGGGCTGTGGTGGGCGCTGGTGACGATGACCACGGTGGGGTACGGGGATATGGTGCCCAAGACCTACATCGGCATGTTCGTGGGCGCGCTGTGCGCTCTGGCCGGCGTCCTGACGATAGCGTTGCCAGTGCCCGTCATAGTGTCGAATTTCGCTATGTACTACAGCCACACGCAGGTGAGTCGGTCATCATAAATCTTTTTTTATTCTCTGCGCGACGCTTAATAGCAGAATAAATTTTGTTATATGAAAATATGTACACGTTTAAATGGTAAATGTAAACGTTTAAATCACATCACATAATTTTTTTAACTTCAGGTTGTTTCAGTGTTGTATCGATTCGAATTACGTATTTATACGTTGAAATATTATTATTTAACTGCTTTAAATTACCTTCAAATCGTGGTGGTACCGTTTTATATAAACGTTTAAATATTATCCTTATTATGTTTCACTTTTGAACATTTAAAAAATCTGGAAATTGTGTAATATTAGTTTCTGTAACACAACGTTTCTTCTACATCTGTCTTTAAAGTGTTTATAATTTATTTAAATTAGTAAAACGTTACGTTTAAATTTTTATGTTTGAAACAATTTGATTTGATTGTTGGTGCGTTTGAAAATTCAGATAATTAAACGTTATATTATCAGTATAACCTTTTCTACTTCAAATTTTATTAGATGGAAATTTTATATAAATATAAACGTTCAAAAATATTTATATACCTATTTAATAATATATTTTTTTAAACTGTATTTGAATTGGTTTTATATTAATTCAATTAACGGGATATGATTTGAAATATTTTATTTATTATTTCATTAAGTCTAAAAACGTTTAATAATTTTTGTGTTTAAACGTTGTAAATAACTTAATTTAAACGTTTCAGTTTTGAAATAAAAAAACATTTAATTACATATTAGCTTTTATCGTCAGGAAAAACTTTATGTTTAGATTTAGTGAAATACACCGGAAATTGTATTAGGTCTGGAGTACGTTTAAACGATTGACACGTTTAAATTTTTTCAATCATTTATTGCAGCATTTTGAATTGTCAGAAACGTTTAAATATTCAACTATTTAAACGTTCTTTTAATCATTGTAGATATACTTGAGCGTCTAAATGTAAACGTTTAATATTTAAACATTTGCACTTTTAGTTCTTTTAGTGTTAAAATTAGAATTTGAATTCATAAGATCGCAGAAATATATGCATATATGTTGAAATTGCATTTTGTTTATACTGGCGTTTTATTTGACATACGACTATATGTTTAAATATTCCTATTATGTATATTTGAATATTTGCGAACATTCCTGCAAAATGCGTAGCATTGGTCCATTGACAATGTTTTTTCCGCACTGTCTTACAAGTATATTATTTTTTTGTGAATCAGGAGAATGCACTTTAAATTTCCTTCTTTTTTACGATAGCATGTTAAATCTTACGTAAGTTTAAACGTTCCAACGATTAAACGTTTTGTTTAGTTCGATGTCGATTTAGTAACAGATACATTTAAATAATTTGCCGGTTGATTAGTGTAATGTGTATCAAATTTTATTAAACAGTTCCTTACCGTACGTTTAAATGTTATTCCTGTTATATTTTATTTTTTACATTTTTGAATCAGTGTTGGTCTAGAGACAGATACATTTAAACGTTCTGCTGGTTGGAATTTTTAAATATAAAGATATATTTAGATAAAGAAAATAGTCATAATTCATTTTTTAAAATTTATTTAAACGTGTTAATATAAACGTTCTTTCAGAATTAAAACTCAAAAAATCAATCCATAGAAAAATGTGGATGTGCACTTATACATTAATGATTTATTTTTTAATTGTTTTAAATTATATTAAAATTAGCTGTGTATCATCTCACATGTACGTTTAAATATACGATTAAATATGCCTATTCAGAATAGGTATCTATTTTTTTTTTTAATTAGTGCTCGCGATAAAACAAATCCGTTCGAGCATTCCACCATTGTCCGATTTAAACTCCGATTAAACGTTTTATATTTAATCGTTCAAACATTCATTTGTTTCAATATCGAGACATCGCAATAAACAATAACACTATCCAATACCGAACACCTGGAAAGAGATATATCCCGTTGATTTATACAACAAATCTTTTTCCTTAATCTGGTACGATTAATTAAATTGATAGCTTCCACAGAACGGCGGGTTATTGATTAAACAACCGGCAAACAAAGAACCCGGGAAAATATAATATATCCAGACAAGTTCGTACGCCTTTATGAACGCGGCTATATTCCATTTATGTCGAGTTTAATATCCTGTTCGAACTGCCTGCTCGTGATTTTGTGGCATTAAGCCGCATCGTATTATCATAATACGTTTTATTAGAGAAAAGGAAGCGTAGCGGGTTTCGCCAGTGTGACTTTTCCTTCGGAAAATGCCGCCAAGTTAATCGTAATTGCATTCGCCTCGAAACGTTGAAATAATAGAGGGAACTTTATAGTAGTTGTGCAGGAATAATACTCGTGAACTGTTACACGAGGAAAATGTAATTATAAAAATTAAATAAGACTATTGCAGAGTTTTTAGAGCTTTATCAAGCGGGCCGAGAACAAAGAAAATATAATTTTTGTGGAATGTAATTTTTAAATTGTGATAAATACAGGGTGATTTATTTAAGTGTGACAAATATAAACAGGTGGATGTTTCTATCAAGAAATGTTCATAATTGCAAACGGAACTGCAATGAAATGAAATATAACAATGTGGGAAATGTAAATAATAGGCAGTGACTCATTCTTAAGAAGTAGATCCGTGCGAGGGGTAAAGCGTGCCGTGAATACGATTCCATGGGCGTACCATTTTAGAGGGTTAAAAAATAGTTTATAATTTTGTCTAAATATAACTAAATAGACTAGACATGTCAATTTTGGTAAACAACAAGATTAATATTATAATTTTACCCTCACTTTGTATGTATGTATGTATGTATGTATGTATGTATGTATGTATGTATGTATGTGTGTGTGTGTATGTATGTATGTATGTATGTATGTATGTATGTATGTATGTATGTATGTATGTATGTATGTATGTATGTATGTATGTATGTGTATGTATGTATGTATGTATGTATGTATGTATGTATGTATGTATATGTATGTATGTATGTATGTATGTATGTATGTATGTATGTATGTATGTATGTATGTATGTATGTATGTATGTATGTATGTATGTATGTATGTATGTGTGTGTATGTATGTATGTATGTATGTATGTATGTATGTATGTATGTATGTATGTATGTATGTATGTATGTAGATACTTTCTTACATATTGTTGACTGGAATATTTATTTAAGTTCCATGGTAGTAAGTACAATGCAAAAAAGGTATAATATCCGCAACAGCAATTTTTGCAACAGTTGTTGGTATAATTAAAACGTGAAAATAATAACATCTATCCCACTTTTACACTTATGACACATACTGACACGAGCTGCAATTAAGACAGAGCAAGATTTCAAGAAGTCAAACCGTTCAACCTCAATCATCGCTCTAAGCTTGCTGTAGAATGTTCTATTATTTTATCAGGTTAAGAAATGGTAAAAATGGTTTGATTTATTTGTGATAACTGCTTGCTAGTTTGGTACTTGATGATAAGATCATGTGAAATAGGTACTCTTAGTACGAGTATAAATGTATGCGATCATACTTGCCCCGATGCTCACGAATTATGCTTGTGGCATTGTCGATGGCTTGCACCAGGTCCACTTCACTATTAACTGATTGGGCCTACACCCAAGTCCCATCGAAAAAAGTCCATCGGCATGAGATAGGGATTCCTCAGGGGCCAAGAAATGCTAATTGCATTTGTCTCTACAAAACCGTGTGTAATTATTACGTCACACTGTTTTTAAGTAATAAAAGTTACCATCGTTATTTGCTTTTTGCCTCAGTCCTCAATTCCTCTTTTTCCCATACCCCTTTATTCCATTCCTACAAATCACTCGTTGATTTCCATCGTGCCATTTTGCAGTTTTCAGTCCTTTCTTATAATTTGGAACGTGCCGTTTTCATTTCCGGCGTATCCATACTCTGTATGATTTTTTCAATGGATGTTATTTCTTCCGTCAGGCTCGGGCGAAACTTCCAAAGAAGCGGCGGAGGGTTCTGCCCGTGGAACCTACCAGAGGCCCCAGGATCCCCGGGACGGGCCCAACAGGTGCTCAGCCAGGCGGTCCCCAGGGCCCTACGGCCGCGCAGAACAGGCGCATGAACGCCATCAAGTCCAACCATCCCAAGGACATGCTGGGAGCACCCCTGCCCAAGATGGGTGAGTAGAGATTGCGTTGTTGCTTGGTTTTGGTGGCAGTGTACTCGGTGGGGTGATGGTGGAGGCGTTTTGGGAGTTGTGAACAAAGCGGGAAGAATGCTTTTGGCAGTTGGCCAACTCGGCAATATAGTAAGACATGGAATAATTGCAACTACTTTTAAAACTACTTTCAATTTTTTTACAGATGTTATAGGTTATTGTACGTAGTTATTTTTTGTTTATAAACATTATTTTCGTTTCCAATAGCCCAAAAAAAATATATGGCCACTTGATTCAAATGGAAAATTCCTCGAAATTGAACAGAAATTCACTATAATCCAAGATAGATCACTAAAATTGTTTATAATTATATGTGTTATTACTATAGTTGCGTTCACTTTGTTTATAATGACTCAAAGCTTAAATTCTATAAACTAATCTGTTTTCGAGAAACTACCGACATAATAAACTTTACTACAAACGATTTTAGATGCCTAGTTTAGATTATAGTGACTTTACGTTGAATATCGAGGAATTACAAATTAAATAAGCATTATAACGAACAACTACAAACAGAGCTTGAAGTACAGTGACTCTATGTTGGATTTCAAGCAATTATAAATGAAATAATCGTTACTATAAAGATCTCAGACAACTACTTTGGATTATAGTGACTCTACGTTACATTACGACGAACTACGAAGAAAATAAGTGCTATTACAAACGATTTTAGACACATCTTGGATTCTATTGACTATTCGTCAAATTTCAAGAAATTACAGATGCAATAAACGGTCTTAGATAATCATTTTGGATTATAGTGACTACGTTAAATTAAGGCGAACTACGAAGGAAATAAGCGCTACTACAAACGATTCTAGGAAGGTATCTTGGATTATCTTCAAATTTTAAGGAATTACAATTGAAATAAACGGTCTCAGATAACCACTTTGGATTATAGTGATTCTACGTTAAATTACGATAAATTGCGAAGGAAATAAGCGCTACTACAAACGATTTTATACATATACCTTGGAGTCTATTGATTATTCTTCAAACTTCATGAATTTACAAGTGAAATAATCTGTCTCAGATGACCACTTTGGATTATAGTGACTCTACGTTAAATTACGATACACTACGAAGAAAATAAGCGCTACTACAAACGATTTTAGGAAGATATCTTGGATTATCTTTACTATTTTTCAAGTTCTAATGAATTACAAATGAAATAAACGGTCTCAGATAACCACTTTAGATTATAGTGAGTGTACGTTAAATTACGAAAAACTACGAAGGAAATAAGCGCTACTACAAACGATTTTAGACACGTACCTTCGATTATATTGATTATTCTTCGAATTTCATAAAATTACAAGTTAAATAAACTATCTTAGATGACCACTTTGGATTATAGTGACTATGTTAAATTACGATAAACTACGAAGGACATAAGCGCTACTACAAACGACTTTAGACAGACATCTTGGATTATCTTTACTATTCTCAAATTTTAAGGAATTACGAATGAAATAAACGGAAAAACGATTTTAGACACATATCTTGGATTATATTGATTATTCGTCAAATTTCAAGAAATTACAAATGAAATAAGCAATCTCATAACCATTTTGGATTATAGTGACTCTACGTTAATTACGATCAGAGGAAATACGCGCTACTACAAACGATTTTAGTCACATATCTCGGATTATATTGACTATTCGTCAAATTTCAAGGAATTACAAATGAAATAAACGATATCCGATAACCACTTTAGATTATAGTGATTCTACGTTAAATTACGACAAACAACGAAAGAAATAAGCGCTACTATAAACGATTTTAGACACATATCTTGGATTATATTGATTATTCGTCAAATTTCAAGAAATTACAAATAAAATAAGCGATCTCATATAACCATTTTGGATTATAGTGATTCTACGTTAAATTACGATAAATTTCAAAGGAAATACGCGCTACTACAAACGATTTTAGACACATATCTCGGATTATATTGACTATTCGTCAAATTTCAAGGAATTACAAATGAAATAAACGGTATCTGATAACCACTTTAGATTATAGTGATTCTACGTTAAATTACGACAAACCACGAAAAAAATAAGCGCTACTATAAACGATTTTAGACACATATCTTGGATTATATTGATTATTCGTCAAATTTCAAGAAATTACAAATAAAATATAACCATTTTGGATTATAGTGATTGTACTTTAAATTACGATAAACTTCAAAGCAAATACGCGCTACTACAAACGATTTTAAACACATATCTTGGATTATATTGACTATTCGTCAAATTTCAAGGAATTACAAATGAAACAAACGATATCCGATAACCACTTTAGATTATAAAATATACGATATCCGATAACCACTTTAGATTATAGTGATTCTACGTTAAATTACGACAAACCACGAAAGAAATAAGCGCTACTATAAACGGATTTAGAGACAAATAATGTATTATATTGACTATTCTTCAAATGTTAAGGAATTACAAATGAAATAAGCGATCCCAGATAACCATTTTGGATTATAGTGACTCTACGTTAAATTACAACGAACTACGAAGGAAATAAGTACTACTACAAACGATTACACTTTTTTTTACTAATTTTACACAATACATTTAATATTTTGAAAATAGCTACCTTTTTGTCCTTGCTACTGCAAAGGAATATTTGCTCACTACAATAAACTACAAACTAAATTCCAGTGGAATCACCCAGAAGATCTGAGCGCTGTCAGACTCAATGGATGGGTTTTTAAATATCTTGTTACTTTTCTTTTAGTTATTACAAACTACTACAAATAAAATAAAAAACGTTATTACAAAGAGCTATGTACCAAATCCTATATCAGGATCGCATAGTGAAAATAATTGCCAGTTGTAATGAAAATTACTAATTCTGTAACTTCCATTAAAGATGTCGTTATTCCCTTAATTCAACGTTATTTTGCTCTGGTTTTACTGAAATCCTGCTTTGTTCACCACAACCAAGTCTTGCTCCTAACAGATATCTATCGGTGTAAATCACGTGGTATCTCTTAGATAATGAAAGATTCCTCATCGAGCTACCAAATCGGAACTATTGCCGCCGAAACGACCAGCTACTGTGAAGGGAGGTCCGAGATGCAGTGACGTATTTTTTCATGATTTTGTGAGAATATATTTGTGGCCTTTTTCCTAGACTCTTGTCTGCTTTGTTGGTATTAACCACAGCGATCATAAAAATAAGAAACGGCGAGGTTTTTTAATTTTTCACACTGTGCGTCGTAATATCCAATGAAATAAACAAGAGCGTAATATTTTTATACCACAAGTGCTGTGCGTGATGCCATTGAAGGTTAGGGGAAGACGGTATCTGCCTTAACGATCAGATGTCCCCTTAGATCGGGGTTGATTAGCACCTCCGGAGCCCTATTAGCAATTTAAATTCGCCCTAAATGAACAGCGTGCCGTCCTCCTGCAGGATATTGGGGAGATCGCTGCGTAGTTTTTATTTCCGCTCGCTAGGGGGCGGCCGCAAATGTTTGCAGATAATCGTTTCTTTATTTAAAAGCGCAGTTGGTAATTTGCCGAAATCGCGTTAAAGAATAACTCGACCGTCATTTCTAAACGCGTAAGATTAATAATACTTCGCCCCTTCTCCCACACACGGTTTGTGTGTGTCCTCCTGTGTGACTCTAACTTGACATTTAGAAAAACTTTGGCCAAAATACATAAAAATTGTTTCAAAAAGACCCAACCAGTCCTCCAGAGTCGTTTCAGAAAAAGTTTCAGATAATAGTTGTAGGATATCAAGAAACCAATTAATTGGTGACCTTGGGTTTGACCTTGACCTTAAGTTTCAAGGTCACACTAAGGTCAACGTGAAAATATTACATGAAATACCTATTTTTTATGACAGCACTCGATATAGTTCCAAATTTTACGTTCGAATATGTGGTCAGCTAATGTTTACTCTACGTATCCCCTACATTCTCCTGTAAGGTTGTTTAGAGGTCATACTCATTTTTCATTGGATAACTTGACAAAATTGTTTCAAACAAAGGATTTTAAAATGACAAATTAGATGGCGACCTTGGATTTGATCCAACAGCTGATCAGATATTATTTTCCATCATGAAATATTAATTATTATTAACATACCAATGTGTTAAATCTCAATATTGTTGTGAATATCATACTAATACTTTTAGTTGAATGCATCTATTAAATTATTACTTTATATCCATTACTTTTTGTGGAAAGTAAGTTTAACCTTCAAACCTCCTGCAAGGTCATCCTAGAAAAATTCTTTGATCCCAGATTTCGACATAAAATTTGCCGCTGTGTCTGTTGTTAGCACAAGAAATAGCGTATACAATTTGATATTCGTTGACCTTATTTTGACCTTGTAACTTGTGCTGAAGGTCAAATCCAAGGTCATGTCATTGAAAATCCTACCAATTTTGTTCGAAACGTTTTTATCGAGTTATTTATAAAAAAAATGTACTTAGAGGAAGTAAAGGGAGTAAAATTTGGTTCACAATCGATTGCTGTCTTAAAAAATAGGGTTTTAAATTTTTTAAAGTCAAGGTCAAATCCCCAGCCTATTTGTTTCTTGATATTCTACAACTTTTATTTAAAACTAACAATGTGTTAAATTTCAATATTGTTGTGAAGATGATACTAATAGTTTTAGTTAAATACATCTATTGAATTATATTACTTTATATTCATTACTTTTTGTGAAAAATTAGTTTAACCTTTAAATGTCCTTCAAGGACATTCTAGAAAATTCCTTTCATTCCAGATTCCAACATAAATTTTGACGTTGTACTAGTTGCTGACGTAAAAAGTAGCGTATTCCATTTGATATTAAGTGACTTCAGTTTGACCTTGTAACTCGTGAGGGGCAAAGTCAAGGTCACCATCATGTCATTCAAATCCTACAAATTTTGTCTGAAACGTTTTTGTCGAATTATTCATAAAATATAAGTTTGA